CGATCTACTGTACAATATAAAGCGCCTTGAGGCGACTGCTGTTGTGATTTGGTGCTGTGTAAATAATGATTTTTACTCATTTTGATTCTGAATAATTTGCTAAAAAAAGATGAAAAACACAAAAGTGTCATTGTGAAATAATCACAGTGAGTCTTTTCGTGATACTGCAGCAGTGCAGAGACACAAAGTGTTGCATGCTGGGTAGCTGGTGGCCTTGACGCTTGTGCGTATCTACTGATGTACTGCTTGTGTTAACGAGCATGGAGTAGGCTTTGGCAGTGGGCGTGGCTTTCGGTTCTGCTCATGTGCAGTTCGTGTTTATGGACGCAGTTCGTGTAAGTGCAGCTCGTAGGCTCACTGACTCCACATATCTGAGCCATGAAGCCGAGGATCAGTGTAGGGTCTTCCTTACACTACAAAGCGACTGTTGTTGTGATTTGAAGTCATCCAAACATGAGTGACGGCTTCGAGCTGTGAGTGTGTCCTCTCAGACCTTCTTTGGATGGAGGTTGGTCCGTATGACGGCGTTTCTCTCCACCCATCAGGAACCCTCAGCATAAAGTGAGAACAGTTTAACCCCACCTCGGGTGAGCTAGAGTCTGTACATTAGAAAGCACCTTCAGGTGACTGCTGGGATTATTCGTTCATCCAGTGTAGGGGCGCGACGGGAGCCTATCCAGCCCCAGGGTAGGACCCGGACAGGCCCCATTCTGTCGCAGGGCTAACAGACAACGAGAGAACCCACGCAAACACAGGAGGAACATGCAAACTCCACACAGAAAGACCTGATGGTGGAATTAAACCGTGCTGCCACTGCTGTGTGACGACTGGGTGGATGAAACCCAGTGAGGCTGCTGGAGGTGTATGTCAGCTGTTTATTCCTGCACCGCCTGCGTTTGCTCAGCAAGAGCAGCTCCAGCTCCACTTCAGCTTTCTTTGCTAGATGTCTGAAAAGAATCTCATGGAGCACCTGCACGTGCTCGGCGCCACTTCAGCGAGTGGCCGTGTTTTCTGTGCAAGCAGTGAGAGAGCGCTGCAGATCGTCCTCAGTCGCTCGAACGTGACTCTTGTGTTTGAGTGGGGGCGAAGAAAGAGGAAGCTGAAAGGAGGAAAATGGATCTTTTCAGCTGAAGATCTGTTTTTCCTTTTGTGTAGGGACGAGGCGTGTGTCTGTGATGTGCGCTGTGTTAATCGACATGATGTCTGATGTGAAATCCATCAGATTGAACAGATGCTGCTCCGAGATACGATTTAAGGTCTGCGTGTTTATATTTAACTTTGACGCCAGAGTGTGTGTTGGCCTTCAGGCACACACAAATTCAAACACACGTATGTAGGATACGCACATCACAGGACAAAAGGTGTTGCCGGCGGCGACCTGCAGCTGTAATCAGATTACTGTCACACACACACAACAAGTCCTGCGACTCGAGCGTGGAGAAATGTGATTGGAGATGGAGCGTCAACGACAGAGAGGAGAAGAAAGGACATAAAGAGAGAGACAGATGTGGGGGGGGGAGAGCGAGAAGAAGAAAGAAGCTGAAAGAACGAGGCAGAAACGATCCGATTTGTTCTTCTTCTCTTCCTTTCAGAGGCGAATTAAAAACAGCGTGTTTGTGTCTGTGCGCCTTCCTGTCCTCCATTAGTTTCCTGTGCAGCAGGAAATGTGACAACACTGCAGTTTCACCCTCCACACCTTCAGATGTGTGTCAGAAACTGTGTGTGTGTTGATATATGACTTCTGTCCTGAACTGGACTCCTGTGAAAAACACAACTATTGTTTCCAGCGTCCCTCGGGACACGCCGTCTTAAAAACTAACCGTGCTGCATTCAGGTGCAGCCCAGTGTGTGTGTAAACCACAGACTCTTCTGCTGGAAAAGAAAGTTTCCTCTAGAGTCACAATACTTTCATTTCACTTCAGTTCAGTTTTATTTATACAGCAACAAATCACAGCAGTTGTCCCAGTGAAAGACCCTATTATCCAGAGAAAACACTAACAACCAGACGTTGCCCTATGAGCAAGCATTTGGTGACAGTAAGAAGGAAAAACTTAACAGGAAGAAACCTCAAAACCAGGCTCAGGGAGGGGCGGGGCCATCTGCTGCGACTGGTTGGGGGGAGGCAGACAGGATAAAGACATGTCCCAATTCCTAAGCCGGCCTTCAGAGGACCCGGCCTATGTGGGCCGGGTCCTCTGAAGGCCGGCAGTGAGCGGCTGTGAAATTGGACGGTCGAGCCTTCAGTTTTGCGTCACCGCTGTCTCGGTGGAGTTTAATCAACTCGGCTGTCTGCTCCTTGTTATCTAAAATATAACAGGAGTAAACTCTGGACCATCTCACACTTCTGTTTAATCAGTTTGACGTTTATTCAACTGTGTGAAAACTAAAACTTTAATCTCAGCCAAACCAGTTTACTCAGGAACAAATGAAACATTGAAAAAAGCCAAAAATTAACATTTATAAGTTATCATAGTGACTTATATATCATGTTTAACCTTAGTGAAGACCATGGGGATCTGAAATGATGTGCCGGGAGTCCGCTGCACTCGCCGGCTTTAGTGACCCTCGAGCTCCCGGCTAGCTATCGAGCTGGTGCGTAACAGATGTCTCCAAAAACGTCAGAGCACTTTTACAAATATGTGATGTCTTGATAAACCGAGCAGATATATGCCATTGCCGCATTTGAAAAGTATTTTATATTATCATACAAATATTATAAATAATAATTGAATTATTAAGTATTTCAAAGAGTAATAAGAGTAAGTTGCTTCTGCCAT